GGGGGTGTGCAGGAGGCAGCCGATCAAGGATTCTCATCATTGATGTTTCTATCTCTCTCCCTTCCTCTCTAAAATCAATAAAAAATATACATTTAAAAAATATATAAGATCTAATTGAAGAAATATATATTAAAATGAATGAAATATAAAAAGTTTAATATTTTTGTGATAGAAATATTAAGCTTTGTAAGGATAGCAATACTTTCTGAATTAATCTATAAATCAGAGCAGTAGTTGAATTCCAATAGGATGCTCTTCTGGAGTGTGGCAGTATTGATTCTACATTTTAGCTGTAAGGAAATTCTGAGAAGACTAATTAGAGGAATGGGTAGGTAGAGGGGTTTGTCCTGTCAGCCTCATAAAAAATGTAGAACTCATATAGTATTGACAGAATATATAAGTCAGGTAATAGATTTCAAAATTAGACCTCAAATATTTGGGGTTTAGCATATGATACATTTTAAGACATTTTCAGTAAATATTTTCGGATAGCTGGCTGATCATCAGGCACAGATGTTGCTTATGTGTAGTTATCAATTCCTATCTGCTTCCCTAGTTTCTAGTAACTTTCCATGCCTCAGTATGTCTATTCCATCCTGAATGCTGGTACCAATTGATAATTTTAAGACTTAGATAATTTCCCACCACATATATAATGAAGTAATTAAAACTCTAGCTAAGAGGTATTGAAACTGATATTTATTATAAGGCTATTCATGGGCCAGGATGCTAGCTCATTTAATTTCACAGCTCTTAAGTAAAATTAATCTGTTTTGTGAAAGAAGAAACAGATTCTTATGCAATGCAATTTGATCATTATCACATAGAATTCAGTTCTAAAGTTTGTCTTCATTGTACAGTTGACCGTTGAATAACACGAGAGGTTGTGGCACCGACCCCATGCGCAGTCAAATCTGAGTATAACTTTTGACTCCCCCAAACTGAACTACTAATAGCCTACCTACTGCTGTCAGAGGCCTTGCCAAATAACAGAAACAGTCAGTTAATAAGTATTCTGTTACATATATACTGTACTCTTACAATAAAGTAAGCTAGAGAAATGTTAGCCAAAACCGGTTTGGCTCAGTGGATGGAGCGTCGGCCTGCGGACTGAAGGGTCCCAGGTTCGATTCCGGTCAAGGGCATATACCTTGGTTGCAGGCACATCCCCAGTGGGGAGTGTGCAGGAGGCAGCTGATCGATGTTTCTCTCTCATCGATGTTTCTAACTCTCTATCCCTCTCCCTTCCTCTCTGTAAAAACTCAATAAAATATATTTTTAAAAAAATGTTATTGAGAGCAAAATACATTTACAGCATTTATTGAAAAAGATCTGTGTATAAGTGGACTTGTGCAGAACTGGATTGTTTAAGGGTCAACTTTAGTTAGGCAAACTGCCTCTTAAAACTGAATTGTGTGGCCCCTGTTTATCTTCCAGGTAAACCTCCCTGAGCTCTAAATTCCTCCTGTACTGATTTTCTTAGTCTTCCTCCTAAATGTCTAAATTTGGCCACTTCATACTTTTGCCTGAGTACTTCTCTTTGCCATTAACATATTTCTTATTCCCTTTCCCGCCTGTATATTGTTTAAAGGTCATGATTCCCAAATAATAGTAAGACAAGCGTACATGTAAACAACTAAAGCAGGATGAAATAGTATCAAAGGAAACAAGTAGCATGCACAGAGCAATCATTTTGAGTAGTATTGGGGATAAAGAAGACTTCTGTGAATGGATTACTTTTTATCTGACCCTTGAGAAGTTAAAAAGATTCAGCTAGGTAGCATCTAGGGCAGTGATGGCGAACCTTTTGAGCTCGGCGTGTCAGCATTTTGAAAACCCCTAACTTAACTCTGATGCCGTGTCACACATATAGAAAATTTTTGATATTTGCAACCATAGTAAAACAAAGTCTTATATTTTTGATATTTATTTTATATATTTAAATGCCATTTAACAAAGAAAAATCAACCAAAAAAATGAGTTCGCGTGTCACCTCTGACACGCGTGTCATAGGTTCGCCATCACTGATCTAGGGAGAAAGGAATATGAGCATCAGTATGGAGGCATGGTTGGTCTGTGGAGAGAGAGGAATTGGGAGATGAGACTAGGAAAGGCAGTTTGGGACCAGATTATAAAAGGCCATGCTCCTAGTTTGGCTTTCTTTCCTAAAAAAAGAAAAGATTGGGAGTGGACAACGAATAAGATTTTGGTACTTTTCTTAAAGCTTGGGCTTATAAAAATCGAAAACTACAGTAGTCCCCATTATCTGTGGTTTCAATTTTCATTACCCTCGGTCTGAAAATATTAAATGTAACATTCTAGAAATAAATCATAGCTTTAAATTATGTGATGTTCCTGGTAGTGCAATGATGAAATCTTACGTCATCCCATTCCTTCCCATGGGGAACATGACTCATCCCTTTGTCCAGGGTGTCCACACTGTATAAGGGTCAGTGCAGGGCAATAGATATTTTGAGAGAGCCCTAGCTGGTGGTGTGCAGTTGGTTGGGGCATCATACCATATACAAAGAAGTGGCAGGTTCAATTGCTGGTCAGGACACATACCCAGGTTGTGGGTTCAATCCCTAATCAGGGTGTGTACAGGAGGCAGTCAATCAATGTTTCTTTCTCACATAGATGTTTCTCGCTATTTCTGTCTCTGAAATCAATAAAATTAAAAAAATTATAAAATAAATTTTTATTAAAAAAAGGATTTTGCCCAGCCGGTGTGGCTCAGTCGTTGAGCATCGACCTATGAACCAAGAGGTCACAATTCAATTCCCGATCAGGGCATATGCCCGGTTTTAGGCTTGATTCCCAGTAGGGGACATGCAGGAGCCAGCCAATCTATGATTCTCTCTCACCATTGATGTTTCCATCTCTCTCTCACTCTCTTTTCCTCCCTGAAATCAATAAAAAAAGAAAGGACATTTTGAGAGAGAGAGAGACCACATTCATATAACTTTTATTACAGAATATTGTTATAATTTTTCTATTTGATTATTAGAGTTGTTAATTTCTTGCTGTGCCTAATTTATAAATTAAACTTTACCATAGGTGTGTGTGCATGTATAGGAAAAAAACATTGCATACATAGAGTTTGTTACTATTCCTGGTTACAGGCATCCACTGGGGGTCTTGGAACATATCCCTCATAGATAAGGGAGATTATCGTATATTGAAACAAAAAGCACAGTTTGGTTGACATATAACTTTAAAAGTGTGAGAGGTTCTCTTACATAATGTGTTTCTGAGATAGCATTCTGAAGCCCAACTAAAGAATGGCAATTTCAGTTGTCAAATGCTTATGCACATTGGTGCATACATTTATATTTATGTATGTATAGAATATTTTTAGTCAGCAATACATGGGCCTTTTCTTTTTACATTTAAATACCAGCTAATCATTTTACATACTATATACATTTATCCTTGAGATTTAGTATATTTAAGTTAAGCATATTTAACTAATTTTTTATCTGCCTATTACCAAAATCTGTTTTTAACTATTTACCAGCTGGAGTTACCTATTAGTTATTGCATTTTTTAAATTATTGTAACTAAGACTTACTAATTAATAAAATAATTATGAGGGTTTTCGCCCTGGCTGGGTGGCTCAATTGATTGGAACTGTTGTCCTATACACCAAGCATGTCAAACTCGCAGCCCACAATGAATGTTTTTGCGGCCCAGCCAATGTAATGGTATGTAAGAAACGTTTTAATAAAAATTTTGTAACTTAATTCTTACAATATCCTGTTACACATAATTATTAATAACGAACTACAACGTTCAATAATGACTGATTACTATAATCGTGTTGCATTCATTTCACTTATGTGCCTTACACGCAGGCGCACTATTTCTCTCCACTCATACTAGCAGCGAATATTTCAGCAGCCCATTGCCACGTCATTAGTCTTGTACTGACTTGTTTGGTGTGTGCAACAGGAAATAATTCGCCTTTGGAGGACAAGAAAAATAGGTTTATTTGTGATATGCTTATTAATCTGTGCAGTTATTCATTGTCTGGTAAGTTAATGTTCAAAAAATACCAATTTTTATTAAAATGTTCTATATTTTATGTTAACAATTACTCATTTATTTCAGCCCTTTGTATTCAGCATGTCTCTATTGAAATAAACCTACGTTTCTATGAAAATGGAAGGTGGTTGTTTTTTTGCGGCCCACATAAACTTAAACCTTATTTATTTGGCTCATGTTAGCCTTTTTGTTTGACATGCTTGCTGAGCACCAAAAGGTTGCAGTTTGATTCCAGTCAGGGCACATACCGCGGATGGGAGGCAACCAATCGATGTTTCTCTCTCACATCGACATTTCTCTCTTTATATATATATATATAAAAATCAATAAAAACATGTCCTCTGTTGAGGATTATTTAAAAAATATCTTTTTAAAAAATTAGTATTTTTAAGGTACAGGTAAGCAGAGAGTAAAGCAGTTAAAATTTCTTAATACCTTGAAATCTGTGGCACAATTTTAAAGAACATACATGTTTCAAGAATGTTACTTTTAGGGTCCACCAGTTGACAGAATTTAAGTCTTTATTTACAATGTACTTACCTTCCTGAGTGTAGTATATCTGTTTCTGATTTTATCGCAAACTTCATTATATTTATGAAAAGTGGTAAATGACAGGTACCTATAAAACCAGAGAAAGGCATATACTAAACTCTCTTAATTTATTGGAATAAATTTTTTATTTTGTTCAACATATGATCAGCATATTTTGAGTGTTACCTTTAAGATTTGATTTTATAAATAAGGTTTTCTTTCTAGGAATTTGAATGTTGGAGTATTAGAAGTATCCACGGAAAATAAATTGATTTCTTAAAACAAGTAATTATGTTGGGATGACTGAAATATTTAATAAAATTTCTATAATTATATTAGGACTTAAATGAGTTGATGTTTTGTATAGCAGTTGTATTATTTTGTCTGTGTAGTTTATAGTGATGTACTTCTTTTTGTGTGTTTAGCCGTATATGTGGGAGTCCATGTCCTGCAGTGTGGCCCGATGTAATCAAACTACCATATTTCAACACCATGAAACCAAAGAAGCAATATCGTCGAAAGTTAAGAGAAGAATTTGTTTTGTAAGAAGGGGATGCTTAAACATCCATATTGCATTGAATGTTTTTTTGTTTGTTTGTTTGTTTAGTTAATTACTCTGAATTCTAAATGTTACTCAATTCTCTATTGACTAAAAGTAGATCTATCACAATTATTCTGTGTCATTTTATTTTGAGTTTCCCTTTGCTACATGCAAATTATCATTTCACCACCATTATGGAATCAGTGGTTTGTGTTTGTGTGTTAGATTTGGTACTTACATAAGAAAGAACTTTTACATTATTTTAAATTTTATTGAAACCATCTTTCAAGTTACTTGAGCTCAGGTTTTTATTTTTATGGTAGGAAACTATTCTGTTCGATTCTTAATTTATGTTATAACAGCAAATTGCCCATAGAGTAATAAAATATACTATTGTTTGCCAAAATTAAAATTGTTAGAATGATAGTTATAAAAATATGTGTAAGTATTTTTCAAAAGAAAATTGATATTTACTGGAATAAAGTATTATTAACATGGTATAAAATGCTAGTACTTGAAATAAGCTTCTAAAGAAACATTAAACTTGTTTCAGAGACCATGAATGACTTTTTTAACCCTCTCATGTTAGTATTCCTGCAGCCGCACTAGACCTATTTGATTACATGCTGGCCTTGGATCCTAGTAGGCGCTGCACTGCAGAACAAGCTCTTCAATGTGAGTTCCTACGGGATGTGGAACCCTCGAAAATGCCCCCACCAGAGTAAGTGACTTTTTATTATTAGATCCCTTATATAAAGAAACTGGATAGTTTTAAAAACATCTGTATATAACTTTCAGAAGCTTTTTCATGGTTAAGTCAAAATAAATAAATAAAAAGAAATAGAATAACAGTATAAAATATATAATTTGCATATCTAGAATGCTTAATGTTCAGCTAACCATAAGACTAACAAAAGTAGCCTTCCTCTAGCCAATTTTATTAATATATTTTAATTCAAAGAATATATTTCTGCTGCAGCTTATTGTAGTACCCATACTACTGCTTATACTATTAGTTGGTGTTGCTAAAATTTTGAGTGCTAATGCTAAATATTTTTCATGTGTTACATTCATACTCTCAGGTGAGTATTATCATCATCACCATTTTACAGAAGAGGAAGCAGGCTCAAAGAGGTTAAGAAACTTGCCCAAGAATAGAAATACAGTAAAGGGTGGACCCCGCTCTCAAATTCAAGTTAGTCCAATAAGAGAAAGAAGTTCTAATATATTCCTTGGCAAACTATATAATAAATTTTTTATATATATAATAAAATTTTTAATCATTGGATAAAAGAATATTAGTATCAAAAGCCTGTATAAAATGAGTTTATTGTCCAGTGCGGGGGGCTGTGGAATGCATAGAGTTTGGGAGTCAGAATAGCTGGGTTCTTGAAACTTTACTCTCTTGTGGCTCCTATACTTTCTCTAAGATTGATTTGGGGAAAGGGGAGAGGACAAAGCAGATTATTTGGTTCTTCTTGGCAAGATCTAGAAACTTTGCAGGGATTTTTTTAATAATTTAAAAAATGCCGATGAGCGTCATAAAGCAAGCCTGTGCGTACAATAATAAAATATTTCCATGTAATACAATTAACATATTGTAAATGAACAAACATGGGCTTTGGAGTTCAAATCTTGACTCTCACTTATCACTTAGATTGGGTTTACTATATTTCTGTGAGACCCTCATACTCAGCTTCATTAAGTTTTTGCTGTATACAAATAGCCTTTGTGGAGATGATTTGAAAGGCTTAAAGGATATATCATCTGACATATTGAGAGACCTGAATTATTCATTGTTGAATTGTCTCATGGATTTTTGTCGGGTTTGCTTATCAGTAGCTATTAGCTGTCATGAAACTTTGGCTCTAGTATCCCTTTAAAGAATTTTTTTCAACTTTGGATTTGAAAATTTTTCTCATTTACATTTATATAGAAAAAAATAATACAGTGAGCATTCATATGTCCTTCACCTAGATTTAACAGTTAATATTTGGGCATATTTGCTTTATCACTCTATGAAAACTTTTATCTGAACTGTTTGAATAATATATTGTGGAAGTGATGCTTCATTTATAAGTGATTCTATAAGAACTAACACTAATTCTGTATAAAGCATAAGAAATTTAACATTGTAATATTTAATAGCCCATAGTCAAATTTCTCCACAATAATTTTCTTTTATTCCCCCCCCCCCTTTTTTTTTAGGGCAGAGCTTACATATTTCATTTAGCTGTCATGTGTTTTCAGTCTTGAATCACTCTTTGGATAAGATTTTTATGACATTGACACTTTTGAAGAGTACAAGCTAGCTGTTTTGTAAAACATTCTAAAATCTGATTAATTGCTTTCTTAATATCAGGATTAGAGTAACATTTTTTTTTTTTTTGCAAGAACTAGCTAGGTAGTAACGTGTGCTTCCTGCTTTATCATATCAAGAGGAATATAATGTCATTTTTCTTATATTGATAATGTCTAAGTTGATCTAAATTGATATCTTGGTTTAGGTATTACACATGAAAGAATTCTGGTAAAACTGTATGAAAGTTCAATTTTAATCGACATCTAAACTTTTTAAATCAATGGTTTAAATAGTTGCAAAAGATGTAATTTTCAGTCTATCATAAATGTTGATTTGACACTTAAATGGAGCAGTTACATCACTCTTAAAAATATATTCAATGAAGTAAAAATATCTTATCTTTATATTCACAAACATTCCCTTAGAAAACATATGAAGAGCTCTAGTCCTTTGGCTTAGTGGATAGTCAGCCCGTGGACTGAAGGGTTTCCGGTTCGATTCCGGTCAAGGGCACATACCTTGGTTGCAGGCTTGATCCCAGGCCCCAGGGCCACATGCGTGAGACAACCAATCAATGTGTCTCTCTCACATCGATGTTTCTCTCTCTGTCTCTACTCTTCCCTTCCATTCTCTCAAAAACTCAGTGGAAAAATATCCTTAGGTGAGGATTAACAACAATAAAAATGTATGAAGAAACTAACAATTTGACATTGCTCTTTTTTCATTTTGGACTTACATTGCTTCTGCAGATTTTTAATGCAGCATATATTTTTGCTTGAAAGCATTAATTGATTACCTTGTGATACATTTTTAAAACAAATATATGTATTCATATAAATGGAAATTTGATTTTTAAAATCTAACTACGAAGTTCTTTTTCTTCTTAATTTGTCATTGCAAATAGTAATAGCACACATTTCAGTTAAGAAAAGGAAAAAAATATTAAATTTTGTTGGAAATGCAACCTAATGAAATAAGTAGGGCTAATTTCCCCATGTAATTTGCATATCTATCAATTAATGGTACTTATTCTAGATTGCAGTAGTTCCACATTAATTTTAGTATTATTTTAATAAGTACCCTTGTAAACAAGCATTTGAGAATAGGTGGAGTTTTGTCATAGTTATATCACTGAGTTTTAAATTCCCTCCATATTATATCTCCAAAACCACATAGTAATCGGTCATCAAAAATTATTTTAATGACCTGTCAGATATAAACTTAAGATTTTTTTCTCCTTTAGTGTTTTTGACAGTAAATCCTGGAAACTACATGATAAAGATAAGTTATTCAGTCATTAACCACTTAATTTTTCAAATTTTGGGAAAGTAAGCCAAAGAAGCTTTACGAATACTTACTAAAATACTTATTATACTTGTTACTTTTTCTTTTCATTTATACTTGTTTAATCCAGTATACTTAGAAAAGGTTAGGAAGTCAGCATGTCATTCCAGTGTTACTTTGCAGTCAATTTATTAAATTGTTTCTTACTACATTTTTAAACTATATATGTTTTTTGTCAAAACCTTGGAACTATAGATGTATTCCCTTCAATTTATGAAAAGTGTCTCCCACATAACTTAATTGAAAACACTTCATATTATCAAATGTAACACCTAAATTCACTGTTTTTATCAGAACATACCTGACTATATTTTTTTCATTAAGAATAAACATTGCCGAAACCGGTTTGGCTCAGTGGATGGAGCGTCGGCCTGCGGACTGAAAGGTCCCAGGTTCGATTCCAGTCAAGGGCATGTGCCTGGGTTGCGGGCACATCCCCAGTGGGAGATGTGCAGGAGGCGGCTGATCGGTGTTTCTCTCTCATCGATGTTTCTAACTCTCTATCTCTCTCCCTTCCTCTCTGTAAAAAATCAATAAAATATATTTTTTAAAAAAAAGAATAAACATTAATACACATTTTGATGAAAAATCTGTAAACCAGTAATAAATTATGGGATATATCACTAAGGCAGTCAGGTAAAATTATAAAGATGTCAATCTAGTATTTAAATAAAAAAGTTATATAAACAATATTACCTCATTTTGTAATATGAAATAGATAATTAAAATTATAAATTATTTATGAGCTAAGGACGATGAAGAAAGGCATGGCATTCCTTTAGGAAATATGTGTATATAATACACTCTTCTGATCAATTTTTTAGGAATAATCAAATGAGAGTGGGGTATTAAAAAAACACAAAAAATAACTCTATTAATTGTGTTAGATGTCCTGTCAAACTTTTCTGAAGTATTTAATGAAAAGAGAAAAAAAAATATATTGTTAAAAAGTGAATTAGAATGGCACCTAGCCTATAATTTTTTTTTAATAGCAAGTATAAAGTATTAAATAATGCATAAGGTAAAATATGACCAGCTGTATTTGCATAAATATTTCATGGTGTGATTTAATAAAAATAGCTTTAAGCTACCTTTTTGAATGATGATAAATGGAATCAAACATGAATATATTGCCTAACCATGCCCGAGCTCTTACATATGTTAACGTATATTACCTCTACCCTATAATGTATTGTTATCTCATTTTTAAAAACATGGAAATTGAGGCGCAGAAGTCATTACTTGCCTAATGAGACACAATAAATAAGTGGCTGAGCCAGTGTTCGAACCTTCAGAAAAGAACATAAAAATGTGCTCATCCTAGAAAACATTCCTGGTGTATCTGTGAGTCAGCGTCACTGAGTTAATACTGTGTTAGCTATTTGTTGGGTGATGTTTATCTGTCCTAGAGATGAGTGTTGAAATCATCCATAAAGAATCTCTTACCTTAAATTATGGGAGGGAACAAAGCCCTTTTAGTGGATTTCTTTGCTTTACACTCATGGGACTCATTTTCATAAGAGCCACGCATTCCCAGAATATTTGGATGGTGGAAGTAAAATCACTCGTTACTGCAGTACTGTAGTACATCTGATTTCAGAATATCCCCACAGAGGCTGAGGCTACACATCTTATAAAAACACATGCGGGCCGGGGGAGAAAGAGGGGAGGAGAGGCTTTGTCGGGATTATGATGCCTTACAGCTTCCCAATATCAATATTTCCAATCGTCCCTTTGTTTGTTACTCCAGGAGGTTTTTACACGCTGAGGCAATGCGCCATAGTAAGATGGCTGAGAGGTATGCCTTTGTTTTGTTTTTGGACCTCAGGTGCATAGACTTGGTTTAATCACAATCCTTGTATCACTCATCATTGGTCCATGCATGGCTCTTTTTTTTCTTTAGTTACTTAGTTATTTTCAATGGTGTTGATAAGCAGCTATGAGCCTACCAAATGAAAGCTGGAATCTTGAAAACAATCTACTTTAATCATATCATACCTTTCCCCACTCCAACCCTACACCACTACCTATATCGCAGAAGTCATTACTTGCCTAATGAGACACAATAAATAAGTGGCTGAGCCAGTGTTCGAAGCCATCTACATGTACTCATAATAATTTATATTTTTTAATTTTAGTTTTTAATTTTATAAAAGGGGGGTCATGCTGTTTGTATTCTTTTGGGAATGACTTTTTTTTTTTTGCTTAATATTATATTACATTGCTAAGATTCAACCATGTTGTTGCATATGCCTTTCTTTTATAACATGACATAAGAGTAATTGTAAAAGAGGAGGTATGAAAGAATTTGCTGAATGTGCAGGCCATTCTCAAAGATCCATTGTAGGAAAGAGGACATGTGGATATTGAAATTACTTTAAAACAATTTTAAGTGTACCCCCTTAAAAAGTCTCATGTATCCTTAGAGGAAAACATGTATAGGCTGAAGACTGCAGACTTTTATCACCAGGTCGCGGCTTCTTAAGGAAAATTGTAGTTATTTTGGGCAAGTTTATTAACCTTTCCAAGCCTTAATTTTCTTATTTTAAATAGACACAATATTGGATTATTAGGGTAAAAAGAAAATATTTATAAATCAAATATTTAAGTCTCTTTTTAAGCAAAAGTTATTCTGCACGGTTGTCAGGTTTATGAAATTACATTCAGGTAGAGTTGTTTCATAATTGAGGGTAATTTTGATGATACTTGCTAGTTATTCAGAACTTTTGTTGATGAATAATGAGCCTGGATTACCTATTTTTGAAATGCCTCTAGCATCAGTTTAATTCTAGGACATTTGCTTACAGCAGCAAATACAAGGGTATTAAAAAGTTAAAAGTTTTTGCAAGAAAATTTTTCACAGTTGGTATGTCTTAGTCTTTGTACTTTCAATCCTCTGTCTAGTCTAGTTTCTGCAAATGGCATATTTTTTGCCTTTTTAAATATCGTATTCAATGTATGATGTTCTATGATAAGAATTGGCTTTAAAAGGTTATACCAAGGATCATTGTAACCCATTTTTATACATTATTTTTTTAAAATATATTTTTATTGATTTCAGAGAAGAAGGGAGAGGGAGAGATAGAAACATCAATGATGCAAGGGAATCATTGATCAGCTGCCTCCTGCACGCCCCCTACTGGGGATCAAACCCGCAACGTGAACATGTGCCCTTGACACCAGTATCGAACCCTGGACCCTTCAGTCTGCAGGCTGACGCTCTATCCACTGAGCCAAATCAGTTAGGGCTGACCATATTTTCTTCACTTACAGTTTTTAATAAATGATTATTTAGTGATTATTCAGAAGCCACCATCTGTTTATAAAGGTGAAGGACCGAAGGAGGTGTGCATCAAGGGCAATTTTTATTGGAACAGTTTGTAAAGCCTGTGTGTGAAGTCTTCAAGAACAACTTGCAGGGGCGTCGGAGTGGCAATTTGGTTGTTAAGAAATATTAGCATTTTGTTAAGAAATGCCACTGAGAAACAATTTTATTCTTTTTTTTCTAGCCTTCCTTTATGGCAAGACTGTCATGAGTTGTGGAGTAAAAAGCGAAGAAGACAGAAGCAGATGGGCATGACTGATGATGTTTCCACAGTTAAAGCCCCCAAAAAGGACTTGTCTCTGGGCTTGGATGACAGCAGAACGAACACACCCCAGGGTGTGCTGCCAACTTCACAACTGAAATCTCAGGGCAACTCGAATGTGGCACCTGGTCAGTAATGCTTCCATGGTTTTCTTCCAATTGTTTGTGGCTACTGTTGATTATATTGTTCTAGTGCTAAGGCATTGGAGGTTAAAAGTTGAACATTAAGGTTTATTCACTGAACTTGACATTTCTTTATTATTTGCTTGTGCCAGTACACATGTGTTGCTGGTACTGGCACCGCAATATTAAGCAATGTCAAGGTAAGATGAACTTACAAAGAGGGACTCAAATTACATATGACTAGTCATTAGTCAGATTTCTCTACTTTCTTTTTCCTCCTAGTACAGGAATCACTAGGTCTTTTGCTAACACTGTTCTCACTGAGGCTCAGCATTTAATGTCTGAATGCTCAAAAAGTAAGGATATAGGAAAAGAGCCAAAAATTATAATAGAAGCTCTTTTGTACTGTCTATAATATCCTTAGAAGTTACTCTTAATATATTTCCCATTATATTATAGAATCTCAAAGATTGGAATCTGATTTTTTGTGCCAAAAATGACTTGAAGGATGACAAAGAAGGATATTTGGGGAAAACTTACATTTCTTTCTCTGACTCAATCTATTGTAAGAGTAAGCTTCTTCATGAGAAATCAGTCTCTTCAGTGTTAACTTTTTAAAAATGGAATCTATTCCCTCATTTGGCCTCAAGAAACCAGAAAGCATTCACGTTTAGTTTAATTTGTGTGTGTGTGTGTGTGTGTGTGTGTGTGTGTGTGTGTGTGTGTAGACAGAAACTAATATGAAATAAATACAGGCATACTTTATTTTATTGTGCTACACTTTATTGTACTTCATAGATATTGCAATTTCCATAAATTGAAAGTTTATGGTAACCCTGCAGTGAGCAAGTATTTCAGTGCCATTTTTCCAACAGAATTTACTCATTAGTCACATTTTGGTAACTCTCAGAATATTTCAAACTTTTTCATTATTATATTTATTGTGGTGGTCAGTGATTGATCTTTTATTTTTTAAATATATTTTTAATTGATTTTAAAGAGAGGGGAGAACATCAACGTAACAGAGAAACACTGATTGATTGCCTCCTGTATGCAACCCAACCAGGGGTCGAACCCCATATATGCCCTGACAAGAAATTGGTGACCTTTTGGTGCATGGGACAATGCTCAACCAACTGAAGCCACACCGGCCAGGGTGGTGATCAGTTACTATTGTTCTTGTTTAGGGGCACCCCAACAGTGCCCATAGAAGACAGCTTACTTAATTGGTAAATGTTATATGTGTTCTGACTGCCCCATTGACCTTTGACCATCTCTCCCCATCTCCTTGGACCTCCCTATTCCCTCAGACACAACAATAAATTGAAATTAGGCCAGTCAATAACCTCATAATGGCCTCTACCTGTTTAAGGGAAAGGAAGAACCACACTTTAAATCAAAAGCTAGAAACGATTAAGTGTAGTAAGGAAGGCATGCCAAAAGCAGTGTCAGACCAAAAGCTAGGCCTCTTGCACCAGTTAGTCAAGTTGTGAATGCAAAGGAAAAGTTCTTGAAGGAAATTAAAAGTACTACTCTAATAAACACACAAATGGTAAGAAAGCTAAACAGCCTAATTCAAAGCAAGGCCATAACTCTCCTCAATTCTGTGATGGCTAAGAGAGGTAAGGAAATGGCAGAAGAAACATTTGGAGCTCGTAGAGATTGCTTCATGAGGTTTAAGGAAAGAAGCTGTCTTCCTAACCTAGAAGTGCCAAGCAAAGCAGCAAGTACTGATGGAGAAGCTGCAGCAAGTTATCCATAAGATCTAGCCAAGGTAATTAATGAAGGTGGCTACACCAAACAACAGATTTTCAATGTAGAAATACATCCTTAAGCTGGAAGAAGATCTAGGACTTTGATAACTAGACAGGAGAAGTCAAAGCCTGGTTTCAGAGGACAGGCTAACTCTTGTTAGAGGCTAATGCAGCTGGTGATTTTAAGTTGAAGCCAATGCTCATATACCATTCTGAAAATCTTCATGTCCTTAAGAATTTTGGTAAATCTACTCTGCCTGTGCTTTATAAGTGGGACAACAACGCCTGGATGACAGGACAGCTGTTTACAGCATAGTTCACTGATATTGTAAGCCCACTGTTGAGGCTTAATGCTCAGCAAAAAAAAAAAAGATTCATTTCAGAATATCACTACTCATTGACAATGCACATGGTCACTCAAGATCTCTGATGGAGATGTACATCGAGATTAATGTTCTTTTCATGCCTGTTAACACAACACCCATTCTACAACTTATGGATTAAGGAGTAATTTCAAATTTAAAGTCTTACTATTTAGGAAATACATTTTGTAAGGGTATAGCTGCCAGAGATAGTGATTCCTCTGATGGACTTGGGCAAAGTAAAAACCTGGAAAGTATTCATCATTCTGTATGCCATGAAAAACATTCATGATGCATGGGAAGATTTCTAAATAACATTAACAGGCATTTGGAAGATGATTCCAAACCCAGTGGATGACTTTGAGTGTTCAAGACTTCAGAGGAGGAAGTAAGATGTGGTGGAAAGAGCAAGAGAACTGGAAGCAGAAGTGAAGCCTGAAGATGTGACTGAATTGCTGCAACCAATCTGATAAAACTTCTAATGGATGAGAGTTGTTCCTTATGAGAGAGAAAAGAAAGTGGTTTCCTGAGATGGAATCACCTCCTGTGACGATTGGTGAACTGATAAAGGATTTAGAATACCACATAAACTTAGATGATAAAGCAACTTCAGTGTTTGAGAGGTTTGACTCCAATTTTGAAAAAAGTTCTACTTTGGTAAAGTGTTATCAAATAGCATTGTGTGCTGCAAAGAAACTGTCACCCCAACCTTCAGCCACCACCACACTTGGTCAGTCAGCAGCCATTAACATTGAGGCAAGACCCTCCACCAGCAAAAAGGTTATTGACCAGCTGAAGGCTCAGATGATGGTTAGCATTTTTTAGTAATAAAGTATTTTTTATTAAGTATGCATATAGTATTTTTAGAAATGATATTGTTGTATACTTAATAGACTTCAATATAAAATAAATATAGTTTTTATATGCACTGGGAAACCAAAAAATGTGTGTTGACTTGCTTTATTGCAATATTTGCTTTATTTGTGTGGCACCAAACCCACGTTGTTTCCAAGGTATGCCTGTATGTACTAGTATATATGTGTGTATGTGTGTATGTAGAGGTGGTAGTTTATCAAACATGAAAAAGTAGTCTAGTACATATTAAGAGATGAATAAATATTGGTTGGTTAGTTAATTGATAACAGATCTGTGAATCAGATTTGACTTTTGGTGGTTGAGTATAAATATAGATTAGATTAGCTGAGAAAGCTTGAGTAAGATTACCATTAATGCTTTCCCATGTAATCTGCACGCTCATACTTGACCTTGGTCAGACAACATTAAAATATTGATACATGTTACTTTAAAAACCAGCAGCAATTTTTATTTCTTGTAGAGAAGTATTCTTCAGAATTTCTTGATAAGTGAATTTCCCTTATACATTAAAATATTTTATACATATCTCTGGAAAACATGTCTGTTGTACACATTATGATGGCTGTCTAAATCAAGTTCAGTTTATTTTCATGTTAAAAATGTGTAAAATATGGAGAAAGGCAAAAGAGAAGCAATAGGAAGTTTTCTTAATTTGCATTTAAGTTACATGTTTTATATACCATCTACTACTGAAACAGGATCTGAGAGGTCAGTAATATGAAGTGTGGATGGTAGTCAGTTGTCCCAGGTTACAGTTGTCATCTTCCTTAACAAGACTATCAGGTCTTTATTTCTGCTCCTTTTTATGGAACTGTTGTTCTTATTCCACTAGCAAACCTAGTGGAAGGTTAGTTATTTCATTCTATTTTAGCTGGTAAAAAATGAATTGCCCTTTCTGGGCTCATTTTGTTATCTACATATTTAATAACCCTATTTTTTTTTTAATTCTTTTTTTTTTTTAAATATATTTTATTGATTTTTTACAGAGAGGAAGGGAGAGAGATAAAGAGTTAGAAACATCGATGAGAGAGAAACATTGATCAGCTACCTCCTGCACATCTCCTACTGGGGATGTGCCCGCAACCCACGTACATGCCCTTGACCGGAATCGAACCTGGGACCTTTCAGTCCGCAGGCCGACGCTCTATCCACTGAGCCAAACCGGTTTCGGCTAATAACCCTATTAATGGTGGATAGTTTAATTTTATTTTTTTGTTTTCCTTTTTTAAAAATTCACTATTAAGTGAGAATTCTAATTTTTTTGAAATAGGAATGTATCCTCTTTGCTTAATTTTCTTCGTTAATCAGTAAGGGTCTTAAAATAGGGAAATGCCACTTCTGTAGAGGAGACACCATAAAGAGTACTTCTGAACTCATACAGAGACTGCCTCTGTTAATAGAGAAATGAAAGGGAAAATGAGGAAAAATAGCCTTTGGGGTGTAGTAATCAAACTTTGTTCCTTATTAATGCTGCAGGTCACAAGAATAACTTATAAAAGTTTGATTTAATCTAAAACTGATATCTGTAATAATAATAAAAGCATAACATGCTAATTAGACCGGATAGCCGAACGAACTTCTGGACATCCTTCCAGATGACCTTCCGGATGAAGCCAGGGCTGCGAGGGCTGAGGCAAGCGGCTGAGGCTGCAAAGCCAAGCCCCTTGCACGGATTTCATGTGCATTGGGCCTCTTGTTATATAATAAAAATATCTCAAAATCTATAAAGAGAGAATAGAAAAAGACAGCATTCATCATCAGTTTTTAATCTTTTTGGAGTGTTTCTTCTATGATGTAGTCATGGAAATTGCTTATCAGTGTCTGTAGTATTATGTTGTACTAGAGGCCCAGTGTATGAAATGCGTGCCCTGGGTAGGGTCCCTCGGCCTGGACTGTGCCCTCTCGCAATCTGGGACTCCTCAGGGGATGTTGGACTGCCTGGATTGGGCCGAAACTGGCAGTCCAACATCCCCCGAGGGATGTAGCAGTGCGTGAAGTGGCAGGCAGCTGGGTAGGAGCCCGAGCCAGGCTCAGCGCTTGGTGCTGCTAACCACTTGCTGCTTGCTCCTTACCGCTCGCTCCTTAGTGCTGCTGCAGAGGTGGGAGAGGCTCCTGCCACCGCCGCTATGCTTGCCAGCCGTGAGCCCGGCTTCTGGCTGAGTGGCGCTCCCACCGTAGGAGCACACTGACCACCAGGGGGTAGCTCCTGCATTGAGGGTCTGCCTCCTGGTGGTCAGTGCGCATCATTGCGACCTGTCATTTTGGTCATTCCACGTAAAGGTTGCTTAGGCTTTTATATATATAGACTAGAGGCCCGTTGCACAAAGATTCGCGCAATAGGCCTTCCTTCCCCTGGCTGCCGGCACCAGTTTTCCTCCGGCAACCGGGACCCAGGTCTTTGGTCCAGCCGCAGTGGAGAAGCCAAGCCTCAAAGCTTGGCTTCCCTGCTCCGGCTGCAGCAGCGAGGCTTGGCTTCTCCGCTCCGGCTGCAGCTAAGAAGCCAAGCCTCTTTAGTCTTCAGTCATCTTCAGTGTTCAGTCCTCTTCAGTCTTTGCTCCATGTCTGCATATGCAAATTAACCGCCATCTTTGTTGGGTTAATTTGCATACTCATCTTGATTGGCTGGTGGGCATAGTGGAGTGATACCAATTTGCATGTTTCTCTTTTATTAGTGTAGATTATATGCATTTGAGCTTTGTTGTTATATAGGGGTGGGAAAAAGTAGGTTTATAGTTGTGGGGGTATGATAGTTTATTCTTGTATTATTATTTATTTGTTATTGGATTATTTGTTATTAGTAACCTACTTTTGCCCACCCCTGTATGATCCAGATAAGCTTTCACAAGAACCTGTATAAACGATCACAAGTCTAAACTGGAAATTGGAAAATGAAAAACCACTGAATCTGTTTTGCTGGTAATGAGTTATTTACCCAGAATAACTTAAAATTAAAAAAAAGTAATTTGAATAAAGTATACTTTATCAAAGAGCCTATGACAAAAGTTTGAATTAAGCACAAATCTAAGATGGAAGAAGATTTGACTTGGGTGGTAAACATACAATATAATATACAAATGACATATTGTAGAATTGTATACCTGAAACCTATATAATTAATGTCACCCAATAAATTCAATAAATAAAAAAATAAAACATAAACTTAAAAAAACAAATACAAGGTTAGGTTCTTAGATAATAAGCATTATTTTAGATAAGCAGTACAGTGAGTAGTTAAAAGAGTGCAGATTCTGGAATCAGAATGCTAGGTTTAAATCTCAACTCTGCCACTTACAGAGTTTATGACTTTAGACAAGTTATTTAACCTCTCTAGATGTCAGTTTCTTCTTCATTTAAAAATGGGGCCAATAATAGGGTATGCCTTATATTGTTGTGAGTAATAGAGGATATAAAATGCTTAGGAAGTACCTGACACTAGCTGTCGTCGTCGTCATCATCATCATCCATTCCCATTCACAGGCGACATTTCCTAGTTACCTTTATAGTATAGGGTTCTAGTGATAGTTTTGATTTTCCTTTTGAAATATTTACTCCTAAAGATAATTTATTCAAAATGGACCACATTTCTTTTTTTTAAAATTTATATACAGTTACATCTTAAATGAATATGAAATTAAATTAAACTGAGATTCCCTTTTTACAGTGTTTCTTAAACACTGTCCTACAAATATACATTTTCATGTGGTCATACAGAGCCATTTTGTGGGTGGGGCAGCCATGAATTACAGCAATTCTAATTAATACAAATTTTGTCTTTAGTAAAAACAGGCCCTGGACAGCAGTTAAACCACACTGAATTGGCAATTCTACTAAACCTACTACAATCTAAAACAAGTATTAATATGGCTGATTTTGTTCAAGTGTTGAACATTAAGGTAAACTCTGAGACTGAACAACAGCTAAATAAAATAAACCTTCCTGCTGGAATTTTGGCAACAGGTGAAAAACAGACAGATCCATCAACACCACAACAGGAGTCTTCAAAACCATTGGGAGGAATTCAACCTTCTTCTCAGAGCGTCCAGCCTAAAGTGGAGACGGATGCTGCCCAGGCGGCCGTGCAGAGTGCATTTGCGGTTCTGTTGACTCAGTTAATAAAGGCTCAGCAGTCAAAGCAGAAAGATGTGCTACTAGAGGACAGGGAAAATGGGTCGGGCCATGAAGCAGCATCGTTACAACTCAGACCGCCTCCAGAACCTAGCACTCCAGTATCGGGTGAGTGTGCAGATAGCAGACCACTAATGTAGCTGCGTTCACACTGTTTTCTTGCTGTTGATGGTTATCTATAATGTGTATTGTTGAGTGGCATTACTAGGAGATGTCTGAAAATTCTCAGGTCTTAGGTTTTTTAATCTGTTCTAAAAATTGACTCTTTAGCAAATTATCCATGTGCGATATAACTTATTATGAACGTCATGGATTTCTATGGTTAAGAAATAATCTTTTACTCCAACTATAACAGGATGATTGACCAAGGCAGAAATTTTGCGTATACAGTAGCTTTGTTCTTCAAGCAATAAACAGGTATATATGAAATACCTTTGAAAAGTCAAATATAATTTAATTTTTTGGTCACGATAGACTTAAATGGTAGTAGGCAGTATTAGGATTTATATACCGTTTCCCTTTTCTTTCTTTTTTTTGGGGGGGGGCGGGTTACGCAGAGATGGAACTTTTAATGCTCTTTAGGACCACCCATAGGAAACATTAACTATTTTGAACATTTGGTTTTCCGCAGTATATTTTGACCTTTTTTCTTTTTTTTTTTTTTCTTTTTTCACGTAGGGCAAAATGATCTCATTCAGCACCAAGATATGAGGATGTTAGAGCTCACACCAGAACCAGACCGGCCTCGTATTCTGCCTCCTGATCAACGACCTCCGGAACCACCTGAACCACCACCAGTCACTGAAGAAGATCTGGATTATCGGACAGAAAACCAGCATGTTCCCACCACTAGTTCTTCACTAACTGACCCTCATGCCGGCGTGAAAGCAGCCCTGTTACAGCTGCTTACTCAGCATCAACCCCAGGATGATCCCAAAAGAGAAGGTGGTATTGATTACCAGGCAGGTGATACTTATGTGCCCACTTCAGACTACAAGGACAATTTTGGATCCTCTTCTTTCTCTTCTGCTCCTTATATTAGTAATGATGGTCTAGGAGGTGGCTCTGCTCTACCATTGGAACGACGTAGCTTCCTTGGAAACTCAGATATTCAGTCTTTGGATAACTACAGTACTACTTCATCTCATTCTGGTGGTCCACCTCAGCCTTCTGCCTTTTCCGAGTCGTTTCCCAGTTCAGTGGCTGGATATGGAGACATTTACCTCAATTCTGGTCCCATGTTGTTTAGTGGAGACAAAGACCATAGATTTGAATATAGCCATGGCCCCATTGCAGTCCTGGCGAACAGCAGTGACCCTTCCACAGGGCCAGAGAGTACTCATCCTTTGCCAGCAAAGATGCACAACTATAACTATGGTGGTACCTTACAGGAAAACCCGGGGGGCCCCAGCCTCATGCATGGACAGACCTGGACTTCTCCTGCCCAAGGACCTGGATATTCACAAGGATACAGGGGACACATTAGCACATCAGCTGGCAGAGGTCGAGGCAGAGGGCTACCATACTAAGTATCAGTTTTTCCTCAGGCACATCATTTTTATCTGGAAAGACTTTTCTAGCTGCAATTTAAGGCAGCAATCCAAGAGACTTGAATAATATTAATTCAACAACAGCTTTATTTTTATGTGGAAAGGGTCTTGCATACAATAGTTTAAAAAGACCAAAAAAACAAAAAAACCCACCTTTGCTTAAATTCATGCTGTTCTAAAAACTAGATCTATTGATTGTACATCTTCACAAATTCTAGTTAACAGTTTTATTTTGTATTCTTGCAGTTTTAAGTGGATGCTAATATTAGGGACATAAAAGTTCTTTATGGCCCTCTTGCAGATCTGAACTATGCACATTTGTGCTTTTTTTTTGTAAGTTTGGACCAACTTTTATGTAACAACCAACCAATCCCTCCCTTCTCCAGTTTTACAACAATCAGAAAGGGCACTGATTTATTTGGTATTTTTCTTTTTACAAAGCTACCTTTAGTCAAAGGTCACTGTCAGTCTTTGCACCTGCTTTCAGTGTTATTGTGAAAGGTGTACTTTGTGCTCATTTCAGAAAATAAAACACAACCTTTCTCTTGATGCAAGTTTTTATAAAAAAAATGGTCAATGTTATTTTTATTTTATTTTGCAGATTATCATAACCTAGCAAAATGCATTCAAATGAAAAGTGGGTTTTATATGAAAAATATGGGTAGGGTGGGGGGGGTAAGTAAGTGCCTTAACAGGTAAGCATAAGGTCTGAAAAGTAGTTACCTTTACACGGATTTGTTTTCTGAAGGGAATCAATGCATTGTATTGAAGAGGAAGGGAGCTCTTGGGGGTTTAGGGCTGCCTGTTCAGTTCCTGTTAGATCCATTCTCTGCCCATCACACTTTCTCCTTTTCTGCCTGTCTTTGGGCTGTGTTATCTTCCACTACCACCTTCTCTTGAAAAGGGAGGGAGAGTAAAGTACTGCGATCAGTACTTTGTTACTTCCGATAAGGTCTAAAAAGTTTTGTCATTTAAATGTTGAAAGTAAAAAAATATATATTCAAAGCAATAGCTTAATGAGAATTTCAGAGCATGTTTTCTTTTAGGCTTCCATGTCCTTCCATTTCCATTTGCCATGGGTAATTGGTGGGCAGTAACACAGAAGCAAGACCTAACAGAATTTGCATAATTCTATTACCACCATTGGGGGGAGGGGTAGCAAACACCATATTTTAAGTTACACAATTTCCATTTTAAGAAAAATTAACGCTGTTCACTTGTTAATTACAAACATTGCCTAAATTTAATTTATTGCAAGTAAAGAAAGTGAGAGAAAACTTCTCCTCTCACCTGTGAGGTTTATTAGGACTTCTGCCAGACTTAGAGCAACTTTAGTTCAATTCAGCATTTTTTAAAATTAAAAGCAACAAAGAATGGAGAAATTCTTATTTAAATTGTAATGTGTCAAATCTAACTTTTTGTGCACACTCACACAGATAATTACAATAATTTTAGAAAGGAACCAAAGGTACATAACCAGTGTTTCCACATCATTAAGTGAAAAAATAGGCTCTGGAAATGAGAGTTGTATCAATTAACCATTTTGTTTTCACTGTTCTCTCCTGGAATCTGATTTGGAATCTTAAATTGAAACAACTGTTATAGAATGGAAATTGCTCCAGTTCTAAAGTCAGTCTTTTAACCCTGTGCCCTCTATCTGACTTGTGAACCTTCCTTTAATATAGTATATGGGAAGCATTCTAGCTTGGTGAGAGTAAGAATATTTTAAAGTGGATAATTTACCATTTTACTGCTATAAAATGATGTCAGTTGACCATTTTATTTTTTGATGGAATTTTTTTGTTGTTGGGGAGAAATGAATGAAAGAAAAACTTATTTTGCTTTTATTTGGATATTAAGTACTAACAACTTATAATGAAACTGCATTGCAGGAAGTGAATAAATATTTTGAAATTTTACAAAATAGCTACAGTATTCAAGTATCTGAAATTTTAATATGGTGAGTCTTAGAGCTTTAGACTTTCCTATAAGTGACAGTATCTAAGTTATTCTTAATAGTCATACTTGTTAATTCTGCTGACCATAGTAGCTAACATAAAATTGAAGATATTTATGTGACATGAATAGACTGTGTTTTAAAAATTAAATATTTTATATACAATTGAACTGTGTTTGGATAGTTTTTCTAATTAAATCTTTTAGTTATGTATTTATGTTGCGAGAGCGGCTGGATGGATAGGGAAGTTGTTACTTGAATATTGCCCTAACGCAGCATTGATTGAGAGACATACCAGTATTTTATGCAACACTTAGAAATAATGTTGCCAATTAAACCACAATACAGTTCTAAATAAGATGAGCAAATTTAAAGATTCTCCCCAAATTCAGAAATGGAAAAGAATGTGTCTTAGAATCTATGAAATACGGTAGTAAAAATCTTATACCATTTAATATTTTAGGAATTTGGACTAATGAAAAGAGCAGGGTTAGGAAATTGCTAATTCTGTAGGTTATAAAAATTGCAGTAATCAATAGGTATTCTGGAGAGAAATCTAAGGAACATAAAATATTTCTTAAGTTTTTTGGAAAACAACCACACGGTAAGTCGGATTCCAAATAAAATGAAAACAGAATAGATTGACCTACCAAAAGAAGAAAATGTTTGTCGCCCATGTGAAATGCCTTTGTGTATTTCCTGACACAGCAAGTTTTTCTGCATGTAACTCATTATGTTTCCCAGCTTTATTTAGTTCATTATGTGTTGGAGAGTTATAGTCACCTATGTAATTTAAAAAGACTCATTTTAAGGGATTTATTGATTAAAACAGTTTTCAAATGTGAATTAAGATAATGTGTTAGCTGTGATTCAGAGCTTCATTCTATCAGTAAATATATATTTAGTGCCTTCCAAGTGCCAAGTACTGTTCTAATTACTTGGAATACATCAATAAACATGGAAGGCATTATGTCATACTTTCAGTAGGCTGACAGTGAACAGGGAGATTTTTAAAGTGTCTTGAAAAGCTATTTGCCACTTGAAAATGTGAATGTCTTTGTAAAATTTTAAAGTCATAGTTGAATACAGAAATAAGGTTCTGGAAAGAATAGAACAACTGGAAACTCAATAATGAAAACAAATTTTTAGTTGCATCTAGCTAGTTTGTAGTAAGCCAATTTGTAGGAAATATCAAGATTTCTTGAGAAAAATGGAAGGTAAATGGGTTAAATGCTTCCAAACTAACCTCACTGGTATTTATGAGTTTAAGTACCAGTATTTGTTATGAGCTTAGTCAAATTTTTAATAACTTTTCACCATAGGTCCTTTATGTACTTATTTTTTTGGAGTAAGTCTGAAATACATGTTTTGAATAAAGATCTGATTCCCTGGGATATTGGTTTTGATATTTTAAAAGTCTGAACAGGATGTCCAAGTAATTTAAAGTTATGTGGTCCATCTCTTCACTTTACTGCTAAGAAAATGAGACTTAAGAGAGATGGATTGCCAGTGCTTGTTCCTCTAGCTAGGTTTAAATTCTGCAGAAAATACTTAACTTTTCGATAGGAAAATTGACTATTAAAGTACCAATGTTTTAGTAAGAAAAATTAAATTTAGAATACTGAACAACTAATTTAAGTCAGATGACTTTAAAAAGTCAACAATCCAGAAAAAATAGGAAAATAAGCAATTTTAGAAAATTTAATTAGGGACTATTTCATATGTGGGTAGTCTTTAAAAAGGAGGCTCCTCTTTTTTTTTTTTTTTAAGATAATAGCTTCTTAAATATCCAACAATTAGAAAATAAGACTGAATCATTAAAGTGTATTTTCTATTTGTAGGAGGAAGAGTGATATCAGCAAGTCTGCAAACATTGCTTTTATACTTTATCAAGGTTTTATGATTTTTAAGTTATTTTATAGGGGGAGCAATGGTTTGTGAGGTACCAGAGGCCCCTCCAGATAAGTTCTGAAACTGCTTCTACTTTAATTAAAAATAAAAGCTGTAAATTAATAAAGTATCAAGGGATCCAGTTGAAGATGGGGAAAACAAAATTTTAATCATAATGGAAAAACCTTGCCCTTCAAACTATATAGACTAAAATTTTGTGAGTCTTATTCCTTTCACCATATCAAATGTCCCATTAAGAAAGAATTTTCTGGTTCTAATTGCATTCAAAATGCTGCTGTGTAGTGAATCACCCTTTAATTTTTTTCACAAGTTAATTTGTTGTAAAGTTATGCTTTTTTTTTTGGCAAGAACTTTTAGTAAAGTCTTGTAACTGTTAAATCTAATGTGTTTAAGCCATTTGTTTTAAAAAAAATCTGTATTTGATAGTCTGTAAATAAACTGCCATTAAGAATTTCCAGGCCATTTTTAGCCTTGTTTTCTTCTTGTTTATCTGCAGAACAAATTTAGGAATCTCGTCTGATAAAGGTGACCGCTTGTTATCCACTCTGGCATGTTTTTATTGACTAAGTTTAAAGACCTGGACCAGAGATAACCACCATTAGTATTTTTCCTTTTGATGGATGGATGTGAATGCAAATCTATTTTTTAAAAAACAACAACAATGGGATTACATTTTGTGATTAGTTTTTTTTCATGTAATATATTGTGAACATCCTATGTCAATAATTCTATCTTTTTAGTGGTTCTAAATTCTTTTATGGAAAAACCATAATTTAACAACTTCTTATTGCTGAACATAAAATATTTCTAATTGTTATAAATAACAATATGATGAAAATCCACATAGATACATATACACAAGCATACATAAATTCCTTGGAGTCGCAGGCCAAAAGAGTGTACTTCTAAACTTTTGCTTCTAAATTTCTAAGCTTAAAATTGCTCTCAGGCCGTAACCGGTTTGGCTCAGTGGGTGGAGCATCGGCCTGCGAACTGAAGGGTCCCAGGATCGATTCCGGTCAGGGGCATGTACCTTGGTTGCGGGCATATCCCCAGTGGGGTGTGTGCAGGAGGCAGCTGATCGGTGTTTCTCTCTCATCGATGTTTCTAGCTCTCTATCTCTCTCCCTTCCTCTCTGTAGAAAATCAATAAAATATATTTTTAAAAAAATTGCTCTCAGGAATGGTGCTCAAGTTTTACATTCTTTTTACTTCTTCTTTTCATTTAGCTATGTTAGCTATTTAAAATTTTTAAGTCTTTGCCAGTTTAACAGGTAATAAATCATCTTATTTTAATTTATATTTCTTTTTTTTTTAATATATTTTATTGATTTTTTACAGAGAGGAAGGGAGACAGAGAGTTAGAAACATCGATGAGAGAGAAACATTGATCAGCTGCCTCCTGCACACCCCCCACTGGGGATGTGCCCGCAACCCAGGTACATGCCCTTGACCGGAATCGAACCCGGGACCCTTGAGTCCGCAGGCCGACGCTCTATCCACTGAGCCAAACCGGTTTCGGCTTAATTTATATTTCTTAGTGAAATTTATTATTTCATGTTAGCCAGTTGTCTTTTGTTTATTAACTATTCATAAGCTTAATAGATATTTATCTCTTGCTCTGAAGAGCTCTTTATATAAGGAAGGTAGCCCTTTTTAATCTTAAAAATTCTGGGGATGTG